CTCCTGGCCTACATGGATCCTTTAGACCTACCAATCCTACGAGGATCAAGTTGCTTTCTTCGAGCTTTTCGTACTTTTCGTCATTAATGTGCTTATTCTGAACTTGTTTGTGTGCAAAAGCAATGCATCGGAGACTGCTTGCTGCCATGCCTTGAATAATCTTCTCAAACTTCAGCCTTTCATCATCATTCAGATCTTTCGTGACACCAGACGCATCGTAGTAACTCGAGCATATTTCTAGTATCATTTCTGCAGCTCCTTTCCAATGTACATGGGTAGTATTGTCGGCCTTCCTTCTCATCAAAACCCCACTTCGTTTCTTGTGCGAATTGAAGACTTCAACATGTTGAATGACACATTGCTTCTTCAATTTCTCCATGTCCATGTGCAGCTCTAGAGTAGCCCATGAAAGAATGGCTTTTTCAGTAGGACTGCCCGAAAACTCAAATCCCGATCCTGAACTAGGCCTATAAACACTACCAGTTGTGTTAAACGTTACTCCTTCTCGGATTAAATCGAGAAGGCAATCAGAAATTGATGAATAACCAGCATCATCTTCCACAGATTCCTGTCCAAGCCAAAACTTTGTAACCTTCATCTCGTTGAGCGTCAGTGTGCCCGTCTTGTCTGTACAAATTACGGTGGCACATCCCATAGTTTCGCAAGCAGAGAGCCTCCTTACCAATGCTTGGTCCGCCATCATCTTCTTCATCGAATAAGCGAGAGTCAGAGTGACAGCCAACGGGAAGCCTTCAGGAATTGCAATCACGACAATAATAACTGCAACTGCTACCATGTCCACCGCGGCATTCACCATATCATCAATCTTTGTCTTGTTGCCCTCAAACTTACCAAATTCACTGTTGTTCTTCGTGTTGCCTGTGAAGTAACGCGCTACCAAGACCACGAAAACTAGGAATGCAACACCCAAGCCAATCTTCGCCATCAGCGGGGTTAGTTTACTTAGCCGCGCTTGTAATGGTGTCTGCTGATCACTGGTGTCACGGCTAATCAAGCTCATCATTTCGCCCCACGTCGAGTTCATGCCAACTGAAGCCACAAGCAATTCACCATATCCATCGACCACCTTGGTTCCTGAAAACAAGAACGGATTCAGGCCGCCATTAACTTCCACATGCTCACTTTCCCCCGTCATGCTTGATTCGTCCACGCTCAACGAATGTCCACGCAAGAACAATCCATCAGCAGGAACTTGATCTCCAATTTTCAAGAACACAACATCTCCAACAACAATACCAAGGTTCGAAATCTGTCGCCGCCTACCTCCTCTCACAACATCAATTGGAATGTCCTCACTTGCTTTGGACAACTTCCGGAACTGCTTGCTCTGCCTGTAGTCACTAAGGGCGGATACAACCACGATAAGAAAAACCGCGACAAAGATGCTTCCTCCGTCATACCATCCTTCTTTTAGTCCATGCTGCTTTATGCCGAATCCAAGTGAGAGCGCGGCGCAGCCTAAGAGGATGACAATGGTAAGATCCTTAGAAGCTTGCCACATAAAATGGAAGAGGCTTTTTGAAGGCGGCTTCTTGTACGTGTTTGAACCGAATGCTTCAAGCCGGCGAGCAATATTGTCACCATCATCGTCGATGCCACGCTCAGTGTCGGTTTGGAGAGCCGATACAACGCCATCAATGCCTTCGAGCTCTTGAAGAAGGTGTAGGTTTTTCTCCTTCATGAGTTGAGTGAGGCATTTGTTATCAATTTTGAAGCCATTGTCGAGGTGACAAAGTTCCATTGTAAGCTAAAGGCAGAGTTTGAATGGTTGTGACAGAATCAGCTATCGAGAGTATTATGTACAGAATCTCAGAGTCATAGAACCACCTGATGTCTTCATCAGAACAGAAGAAAAGGAAAAATATCCATTGGAAGTTGCTGAGAAATTGCTTGAACTTAGCAGCTAGCGTTGGCGCTATTTCTGACCTTATCTGTAGGGTTGGTGATTGGCGCACAACCAACAAGTCATACCGCGACACACCCCACCTGCCTCGTCCAACATCTATGTAGAATCAACCTTGCTTTTCCAACCGTGCCATATGCTTTCTTGTTTCTTTCATTAGCTTTTTACAAGTTAGTGGAAGTTTCTTTTTGCTCCAAATGGTTAAATATAAATTTTACATCCGTCATCCGGGGTAGGCTTTAGCCAATCAAAGCTAGAAAATTGTCTTCTGAGTCAGACTCCCCACCGGCTGTTGTGCTTTCTTTTTATTTTATTTTTTATTTTTAGTTTAAGTATCAGTTAGAGATAATTAAGTTTATATTCCGCTAGGCATTAGTACTTAATTTTATTTTTTATTCTTAGCGTAAGAGTTAATTAGAGATTGTTAAAAAAGTGTCAGTTAGAGATAAATAAGTTTACATTCTGCTAGTGCTTTATTTTTAGTGTTGAGTGTCGTTAGAGAAATAAATTTATATTCTATTAGTCTTCATGCACATGCTAACACAGATGCAATGGGCTATGCCATCCAAACCAATTGAGGGAAGTCGCATCGGTCTCATCGCAAGCACCTACAATGTCATTATAGATATAAAATGTAGAAGAATATCGCTATGCGTCACGAATTAGATGTCAGACACAATTCAACTTTTTATTATTACGGGGGCTACTTGCCACTCAAACCAACTGAGAGAAGTCGCAACCGTCCCATCGCAAGCACCTACAATGTCATTATAGATGTAGAATGTAGAAGAATCTCGACATGCGTCACGAATTAGATGGCAGACACAATTTGGCATTTTTATTATTATAGGGGCTACTTGCCACCCAAACCAACTGAGGGAAGTCGCATTAGTCCCATCGCAATCACCTACAATGTGATTATAGATATAAAATGTAGAAGAATCTCGCAATACGTCATGTATTAGAAGGCAAATACAGTTCGGCGTTTTTATTATTACAGGAGCTTCTTGCCCCTAAATACTTTTTTGAATCACACATTATGCACGACTTACAAAAACTTTCTTCGTCACACATCTAGTATGCATTTGTATTTGCATATTTTTGTTAAAACGTTAAACCAAATGTATAGTAAGGTATTAAATTTTCTAATTTTGCATACATTATTTCTCTTTACGAACCGTACACATGAAAAGCCTTGTTTTTATCACACATGTCACGTTTGACTTGCATACTTTTTTTTTTTTTTTACACTTTTGTCCTTGAAAATGCTCTAGAACACATCCTATTTTTACCCTCGCTCAAACATTGATTTTGGCTTTTTTTTCCTATTACACATTGCATATGTTTTTATTTTTCACTAGCCTCTCCACATACGCTCACGTGCATATAAGAAGCTTTCTTTAATCACGGGCGTTCGCGCCTCTTAAAATATGTTTTGTTAGCGGTTTTCTTTTTCATAATATGTTATAAAAAGAAAAATATACATTGGAAGTTGCTAAGAAATTGCTAGAACTTGGCGCTAATATTGACAGTATCTATAAGGATGGTGATTGGTGCCCACTCAACTGAAATACTTATTTTACCATGTAAATTCAGTTGCTTTAATTGATTTCTGAATAATTTAAAAATGGATGTGTTAAATTGTGAATTTCGGTTTCAAAATCCGTAGCAGAGCGCAAGCATTTTTATCAGCTTTGTTTCTAAAGTACCCTTAAACTTTAACACACCACTCCCCTACACACCGAACGCCAAATCCCCATGCCTTGTCCAACGTCTATGGAGAATGAACCTTGCTTTTCCAACCTCCACCATGTCATGTTCTTCTTCCTTCCATTAGACTTCTACAAGTTATTGGAAGTGTCGCTTGGTCCATTTAGTGCTTAGAGATTTTGCATACAATCACCAACTCTGATTATTGTCTGTAAAAAGCTTAGTGTAGTTGTACATGTTGCATACAATCATCAGCTTTATATTTGCCTTCCTATCTATTGGTCTTTGAAAGACGCACAATTCAAACTACACGAGAATCGAAATTTTTTTTGTTCTAAAAAAGTATTAGAGTTGCAACTTAGTATTACGATCTAGTGACAGTTCTCTTCACTTGTAAATGAAAGGTCTTGAGTTCAATTCTCACCAAAGGCGAATATGAACCACATTATTAATAACCTATTGCGAGGCTTTGCCCACCCCCACTCCCTTAGTGTAAATAATATTGTTTGTTAATATATATATATATATATATAGAGAGAGAGAGAGAGAGAGAGAGAGAGAGAGAGAGAGTTTGTGAGGGTGAAAATAGAAATAACTAGAAATTTAGCCCGTGCGATGCCAACTTGATGTGTTAGAATGGGTAACTAAATGTGTGTAACTATTGTGTGTAAATATGTACAAAGTATTTATACAAAACATGTACAAAGTATTTATAAAATGTACATAATATTTGTTGACAACTCTACATACATATAAATAGTTGTTAAAAATCTAGCTACTCCTATTTCATCGATGTACAAATTGATGCTAGCACGAAACTCATAAGAAAAAAATGGAGGGAAGGAAAGAGGAAGAGGGAGCTTTACAGGCACCAAGAAAAGCAGAGACAAAACTTAAATACCGATGTCAATCAATGAAAGCTAAATAATCCCCATCCTGAAGGTTTTATATAACAAAGCACCAAGAAAATTTCAACACTAACTGTTTTTTCATACAAAAAAAGAAACAATGAAATAAATTTCCACATTAGGCTTATTTCAGATATTTAACATCTTACTTTGAAATTTCTTCCACGGAATGAGACTACAGTGTTCATTGACGACCATTGTAAACATAAGGTGGACAACTCTTTGACCATGTCATTAGACAATTACAAAAGCTTACTTTCCATGAGTTTGTAACTTACAAAATTCCAAACTCAATGTATCATTTGTGTCCTCAGCTTTCATTGCATAATCACGTTTACAATTGAAACATTAACCAAATCCAAAAAAAACAAAAATGCGACTCTCTATGGCTTTCTTATAACACAAGAATATCTCTAATTAGAGCATGCCACACACCAACACATTGCAATTATATAAAGTATTTTTCTCAGTGGCAAGTATTATACTCTCCTTTGGCCAAGAGGATATGAAATTGGTTGAGTATATTGTTCTACCCAATTGGATCAATAAGCTTAAGTTTGCACTGTACAAAACCATAAGTACTCAAGACATGAAATCAAATCTTGCACTTTACAAATCACATATGGGCAAAATAATAGCTTTGAAGAAACTGAAAGAAGCAGAAGGCTTTAGAACACAAATATACTTGAGGTACCAAAATATGGTGCTGAGGAAGTGTTTTCTTCTTATTTTGAGGGAAGAAGAACGCAGCTCTGAATTTGGACCCATTTTCTTAACCCATGGTTCCTATAACCCATAAATAATTTTAGTGTCGTTCAAATAACAAATACCCCAGATGAATTGAAAAACTGCAGAGATTAGTTTCATGAATACATACTGAAGCCGAAAGCCATAGTTAATCTAAACAGAGGGTTTATTTAATCTAAAAAGAGGCAAAGACATACATACCAATCCTCCGAATGTTCTCTGCACAATGTTCTGCTTCAAGAATGTACGACGGCTTCCCCTGCAGTACAAACTCCCACCCAAAGCACATGCCACCATGCTCTTCCCTGAACAAACAAAATAAATTATACACAAGTAATGAGCAACTTTCTTTCGGCATCATAATTAATCTATAGTGTTGTTCAATAATATACTACCACCATTTTAACACAAGTATGATTCTAAATTACATCTGTTCTTATAAAAAAAAGTTTATATACATAAATTTCAATATGTCTGCTTACAATTTTTAAAGGGAATAGTGGTGATAAGATTAGGGATATGCTTTAGACATCAACGCCTTATGGATAGCCCTTCTCAATCCTTCAAGTGTAGTCTAGTCCTTCATATTAAGCATGGCCTAAATGCTGTAACAATCCAAGATAACTTGTATGGAAATGAATTGACAATGAAGGTGGGTTTTTGTCTTTTGGGTGATCTCATGATGCAAACGTATACTGGAGGATAGGTAGCTAAAGCTATTTATGCTTCGTTCACTTTTTAGTATCTATTTGTAAAGTGCGAAGTTCTTACCTCAAAGTTTGCCTTATATGTGACAGCTTTCTCCATGTATGCACCATTGAAAGTTGAACTACTGAAATCAGATTCCCTCATATCTGCTGATGTTAAATTGGCTCTTCTGCATCAGTCAGTTACATTGATGTGAAAATGCAGATACTAATGACAAAATTAGTCTTGTTCTTTTCAAATCAAATACATTAGCTTTAGCAGGTCGTTCATTATGGAGGGTAGCTGACAAATGCAACAAAGAAAAACTACAATTTGCGGAGAAAAAAATTTAATAAAAACCAAAATTTTGAGGAAAGAAAAATTGAAGTTTTTTTCTTATGTGAGGAACCATACCAGTAATTTATTCAATCAAGGGTTTTTCTTTGAGCTATACTCCCACTTTTCAACTGAGAATGAAATAACAAAGAAAACACACAAAATAAAAGGCCTAATTTCCAAATTATTTTTAAAAAAATTAAAAATTTAATTTGAATCAAACTGAAGAAAATAGGTCAAATTAAGTAAATCCCAGTAAGTGGAAAAGTATATGGTGAGTGATTATTTACCTTGAAAACTCACATAGTTTGGAATGGATCATCAACAATCTCTGGAGACTCCACTGGATCCACTATGATATCATCCTGCATGGTTCCACTACAAATGGTAATGCCATTACGAAATAACGCAATTTTCTTTGGATCAAGAACTTAAAACAAAAAGCAATTTCATATTGTTCAACAAAAGTCAGAAATCAATAATTCACACACATTCACAGATCTTCGTAACAATTGGACAACTACAATTTAAACTAAGCGCATAAAAAATTTCTTGGAATTCAATCGAAATCAGCAGAAGATAAAAATTACGCAAAAGAAATGCACAGTCCTGGCATTGGAATTGAAGTACCTGAAGTGGTGTAACTGGGCCCAGCGTCCACCATTTCAAAATCCCCAAATCGGCTTTGAACTACAAAACCCAAATAGAACAAAAACTAAGCAGAATGAGTAGGATTTAAAATGTAGAAAACACCAAATAAAAGAAGGTGGACCACCACTTGCGCAAAAACCATATTTGAGTGTTAACATCGAGCAGTAATAAACCCAACAAAGAAATCAGTCAGGTAAAACTAACACTCAATTCAAATTTTCAATTGATTGTTTAATTATGTAAATCTCACCTTCAATTGTTTTAAAATCACAAAAGTTGTTAACTATGTCATCTAATAATTTAAGAAAATTTAAAATGAACCCGATTCACTCCAAATGCTGATATTATATGTTCACATATATACTTATGTTGATGCACAAAATCAACGAGGACTTTGGTACAACAGAAAGTGTCAGGTTTGTGACCTTCGCTTGGTTGCTTCGATCACTAGTGAAGATAAGTACGTAAATGAATAGGGACAGGGAAGCAAACACAAGATGTACGTGGTTCACCCAGATCGGCTACGTCCATGGGGTAGAGGAGTTCTCATTAATTGTGAAGGGTTTACACAAATACATAGGTTCAAGCTCTCATTTTGTGAGTTCTAGTGAATAGTTTAGTACAAAATGACATTAGAGATTATTGTGGGAGAATGATCCCTATTTATAGAAGAGAGTTTCTAGTTTTGTTTTGACATTGACACGTGTCGTGTTGTGATTGGCTTCTGATATTGACACGTGTCGCGCTGTGATTGGCTTCTGATGTCGACACGTGTCGCATTGTGATTGGCCTCCTAGTGGAAGGGAAGCTCTTCTGGGTCCTTGACAGTATAACGTTGACCGGTGCTCAGTAGTTTCGGGATTGGTCAAGTATGGTACAAACAGTGCTCCCCTAAGTTCCCGAGTGAGGGAAGCTCCTCGGTTGGGGACTTGCAAGATCCAAGCCGCTGAGTAATCACGAAACTTCTAAGTACCGAGGTGTGGTATCATTTTCACTTGCCTTATCTGTTTCATATGTAGATGTGGCATCTTCTCTGGAAGTACTTTTCCTCCATCCAGGGATGGTATCTTTAACCGATGAAGATGCACAAGGTAATGTATCAATTTCACTTGAAGCTTACTTGTAGTTTCGGGCTTGGTCAAGTGCGATACAAACCTATAGTAGGAGTCCACCAAGTTGCCGAGCTAGGAGATCTGCCGAAAGAGGTGACAGACAAGGTAAGCAGTCAAACTTCCAAGCAAGCAACCCAGGATCGGAAGTTCGACTTCGGCTTCTGGTTGATTGTTCTCCTTCTCCTTGTCTCTCATTCAACTGCCAGGATAAGGAAAAGCAAATGGATAAGAGATGATATGAGATACTTTTGCTTTTGAAGAAGTAACTTTCCACAGGCTTATTCTTGAACTGTGCTGGAGGGTTTTCTGGTTCCCTCTAGAGTATAAGGCCGACTCAAGAATTTGAGGGTCAAAACAAGTTCATCAAATCTAGAGTACATTCGACCTTGATGATATGGGATACTTTTGCTGTTGACGGAATAGTGAATGTGGTATGGAAAGGTGTCGTGTTGTAGTGATCTGTTTCAGCTCACCGTTGAACCTTCTGCTTCAATCTTTTGCATGGCAAAAGTGGTGTGCAACCTTTGCATTTAAATGGTCATTCAGAACATTCCTTCATAGTGACTCATCCACGCTTGGCAGCTTCGGTGTAAAGAGCCAATATCTGATCAACTGTCATGAGGTATTTGCCGGTGGAATTCGTGACCTTGACAGCAGTTGAGGATGAGTACTCGAGAGCAATGCTAAATAAGCAACCAGGCAAAGGTTCCAGGCAGTCAGTTCCAGATTGGAGGTTTGATTTCAGGTTCCGACTGACTGCTCTCTTTCTCCTTATCCTGCAGGTGTGGACAAAGACAAAGACAAAGACAGGGAGAAAGCATGATATGGGATACTCTTGCTTTCGACCCTGATGATATGAGATACTCTTGTTCTTGGTGTGGCTTATTTGCTGAGGTATTATTGGGGGGAAATAAAGCTGAGTATTTCGAGAGGTTATGTTGAGGGTGCCTTCTCGAATGCGAAAAATGGTTGAGCATTTTTGCAGGTTTGTCTGTCCGTGGAGGAGGGAGGTCGACATATATAGGAATTTCCCAATAGCAAGTAGTAATGTTATTCCTTTACCCTTCTTGGTCACAGCAATGTAGTGGGAGCTGCCAACTTCACGTGGTTTAACTTTGTCATAGCACTTTGAAAAAGATGTATGTAGTATCTGGAAAGCTGATGTTGCGTGTGAAGATTACAGACAAACTTTATCTAAGGAAATCTGGCTCTCGAAGTTCTGAGAGCTGTGCCTCTTCGGTTTTCGAACAAGCAATCCTGTCGGGGATCTGGCTCTCGAGATTCGGAAAGCAGTGCCGCTTCGGCTTTTAAAAAAGTAATTATGTTGGGAGTCTTTTCTCGAATGTGAGTAAAGGTTGGACGTTCTGCCAGTCTGTCTTGCCATAGAACACGGAGGTCGACACACATAGCGACTTTCCAGTTGTCAAGCAGTGGTGCTATTCCTTTACTCTTGTAGGTAATAGTAGGGTAGCTGGAACTTCGAAATTCTCGTGCCTAAACTTTGTCAGAGATCTTTGGCAAAGTTATATGTGGTACCTGAGGAATTGATGTTGCGTGTAGAGAGTGGTGATTGAACAGTAAGATTCACGTGCTTTCTACTTCACCAGAAATCTTCGACAGATTGCCCGTAATTTCCGCAAAGCTGAGTATGCATGTGACAAGTGCTGACGAGGCTGAAAAAGCAGGTGCTTCTTCGATTTCTGAGATCGGCCCTCGTGGTCTCTGAGCAGCCCAGCTTTTAAGAAAGCAAGTGCCTCTTCGATTTCTGAGATCGGCCCTCGTGGTCTCTGAGCAGCCTAGCTTTTGAGAAAGCAAATGCCTTTTCGATTTATGAAGCTCCGTCGAGTGCGGATTTTTATAGAGGCTGGTATTAAGTTCCACATCACATTTGAATCTCCACTAGTAGAAGCTCCCTTCTTGCACTTCTAAGATCTTGATTTGTCTGACCTCTTCCCTCTTCAACACCTTTGAAAATGTCTGGCCCCTCCGACCGTCGTTTTGACTTGAACCTTGGAGAAGAGACAGCCACGCCTTCTCCAGACAACATATGGCGCCCATCCTTCATATCCCCTACTGGTCCTCTTACCGTTGGGGATTCTGTGATGAAGAATGATATGACCGCTGCGGTGGTTGCCAGGAACCTTCTCACTCCCAAAGATAACAGACTACTTTCCAAACGGTCTGATGAGTTGGCTGTTAAGGATTCTCTGGCTCTTAGTGTTCAGTGTGCAGGTTCTGTGTCTAATATGGCCCAACACCTATTTGCTAGAATCCGCCAAGTTGAATCATTGGCTGCTGAAGTGATGAGTCTCAAACAGGAGATTAGAGGGCTCAAACATGAGAATAAACAGTTGCACCGGCTCGCACATGACTATGCTACAAACATGAAGATGAAGCTTGACCAGATGAAGGAATCTGATGGTCAGGTTTTACATGATCATCAGCGGTTTGTGGGTTTGTTCCAAAGGCATTTATTACCATCGTCTTCTGGGGCTGTACCGTGTAATGAAGCTCCAAATGATCAACCTCCGATGCCTCCTCCTTCTGGGGTTCTGTCCAGTACTGAGGCTCCGGATAACCACCCTCCGGTGCTTTCTCTTTCTGGGGCTCTACCGACTGCTGAGACTTCCCCTAAGCAACCTTTGTGAAGTCTCCCTCTTGTTTGTTTATTTTGACTCATGTATATGTACATATTTGTTTGGAAATATTAATAAATAAATTTTTCTTCATTTCAACGTATTGTGTTAAATACACCAAATCCTTCTTCAGAAAGTTCTCTGAATTTTTTCTTTTGTCGAAACTTGTATTGTTGAAGCTTTGTGAGTGAAGCATGTAGTTTGAGGTAGTATTCCCTTAGTTTCCCGAGTGAGGAAAACTTCTCGGTTGGAGACTTGAAAAATCCAAGTCACTGAGTGGTTGTGAGACTTCCGAGTATCAAGGTACAGTAGCATATGGTGGGAGTCCCCCAAGTCTTCAGGCGATGAGAGTTGCCGAATGAGGTGTCTTGCTTGCTACTAATTTGTCAAAGTAACGAAGCCTTGTTTTGATATCACACCTTCATATATGCCTTATCCAAAAATATTTCAAGCTGGTTTTAGTTTTGCGAGGGCCCAAAATTATTTGTGTAGCCCAAAATGGCAAGCCCAAAGGGAGTCAGAGTAGAGGGAGCGGTAGCTCTTCAATATAACACCATCATCTGTAGCTCAAATCGAAAAATTGTCTTCATGAAAATTGTTCCTTAGCGTGTGAACTACAACATACCCAAATTTGAGATCCATCGGAGTAGTACAACTCTAGACATTCATGTATGATGAGTAACTGTTCATGATTTTTCTGTTAACCCGTCAGACTTGTTGTGAGCTTCGAAACTCCATTTTCTCTTGTTCAGATCAACATACTTTCTTCATCGAAGTTGTTCCTCATCATCTCTTCCATAACATATCAAAAATTCAGAACAAACTAACGGTTGAATATTTCTAGATCTTCGAAACACCGCAGCAGCTTTGAAGCTTGCAGAAATCTGACCGTCATGTTTGGAGCTTCAACACTCTAACTTCCGTCGCTCAAATAGAAACATTTCCTTCGTGAAAGTTGTTCATCTGCTCAAGAACTATAAGATGTCCAAAATTCAGCTCCACTGGAATTAGCTTCGCACTATCTTGATGAAGAGTGTGTGAAGCTTTTATATGTTTTGGTGTTGAAATTTGGTATTGTAGGTGAAGTTTTGGTGACACCATAAATTGATTTTGCTTCACACTATCTTGATGAAGATAGTGCGAAGATTTTGAGATTGATATTTGTCCTCCATTGATGATGCTTTTGGTGGCACCATAAATTGATTTTGCTTCACACTATCTTGATGAAGATAGTGCGAAGCTTTTGAGATTGATATTTGTCCTCCATTGATGAAGCTTTTGGTGGCACCATAAAATTGATTTTGCTTCACACTATCTTGATGAAGATAGTGCGAAGCTTTTGAGATTGATATTTGTCCTCCATTGATGA